GCATGCGGACGGTAGCACTGGGGCCTTCGGTGGAGGTCCCCATGGAGCCACGAAGCGCTGTACTGGATGGGCGAAAGGCAGGGAGGAGGGGGAGGAGGGCCACGAAACGCTGTACTGGGTGTGCGGGACGCATGCGGACGGTAGCGCTGGGACCTTCGGTGGGGCTCCCTATGGGGCCACGAAACGCTGTACTGGGTGTGCGGGACGCATGCGGACGGTAGCACTGGGACCTTCGGTGGGGCTCCCTATGGGGCCACGAAACGCTGTACTGGGTGGGTGAAACGCAGGGAGGAGGGCGAGGAGGGCCACGAAACGCTGCACTGGGTGTGCGGGACGCATGCCGACGGTAGCACTGGGACCTTCGGTGGGGCCCCCTATTGGGCCACGAAACGCTGTACTGGGTGTGCAGGACGCAGGCGGACGGTAGCACTGGATCCTTCGGTGGGGCTCCCTATGGAGCCACGAAACGCTGTACTGGGTGTGCGGGGCGCATGCGGACGGTAGCACTGGGACCTTCGGTGGGGCCCCCTATGGGGCCACGAAACGCTGTGCTGGGTAGGCGAAACGCAGGGAGGAGGGGGAGGAGGGCCACGAAACGCAGTACTGCGTGTGCGGGACGCATGCGGACGGTAGTACTGGGACCTTCGGTGGAGCTCCCTATGGGGCCACGAAACACTGTACTGGGTGTGCGGGACGCATGCGGACGGTAGCACTGGGACCTTCGGTGGGGCTCCCTATGGGGCCACGAAACGCTGTACTGGGCGTGCTGGACGCATGCGGACGGTAGGGAGGAGGGGGGGGCACGAGAGGAGGAGAACGCGGGGACCGTCTCTTCAAAACGAGGACCCAACACCACAGGATGGTTGGGAACAATCGTGTTTAACTTAACCAAAAAGTGCAAAACAACACAGAGGAGGGTACGGGAGGGTACTTGGCGAAAACCTGAAGGAAGTACAACAAAAATCAACATGGCGTAATTAGGGGGCATTTAAAGAAAATCTGCAAAACAACGCAGGGGGTAGGGGGGTACTTACCGAAAATCTGGGCACGAGTCACCCCTCCCAGGCCCTCTCACAGGCCCTCTCAGAGGCATATTAGAGCAAGTCGGGACCCATGCTGGATACGCTTCTGCGCAATACAAAACACATGCCGGCAAGTGCAACGATCGGCTGCGAGCGTGCCTCCCTCCCCCCCCTGTGGGCATCGCCCTCACCTCCCAGAGGTAGAAAAAGAGTTGAATGTAGAGTTGGGAGTTGAATTTCTGATTGAATTTCGGGCTGGGAGTTGAATTTCAAGTTGAATTTCGAGTTGGGAGTTTAATTTCGAGTCGAATTTCGAACTTCGAGTTGAGCAGAATTGGGAGTTAAATGTCGAATTGGAGTGAGCCGTACGGTCGTGGCCCCCCTGGATCACCGTGGCAGACAGCGGCCGTCTGGGGTGCCAGGGACACGGTGCCGCTTCTTGATGAGCGACATTCGTGGTGGGCTCCACGAGGCTGGCGACTTCGGGGATGAACATATGTGTATATATATAATATATTATATATATACATACATACATACACACAGACACATACACACCGATACCTCTGATGCACCCGACCGCCCAGAATGCCGGGGCGAATCCAGCCGCGGCGACGCGGGCCGTCGGTTCTCGAGGCTCCAGAGCTCTTGGGGCTCCTGGGTCCTGGCGCACGTTCTGACCAGTTTGGGGGCGAGGCGGAACGAGCCGCAGCGACAGGGTGACGAGAGCTCTCGAGCTCTCCAGAACGAGCAGAAGTATCGACATCGACGGCGCCGGGATCTGCTCCTCTCTTCGCCTGCTCGGGGCCCCTTCTCGGCGCTTTCCTGCGGGCCTCGCGGGCCGCACTGGGGGCTCCACGGGGGCCTCTGGGGGGCCGTTTCGCCTCGCGGGGCTGCTGGGGATCAAATGGCCTGCGGGGGCAGCCCTGCGAGCCACTCGGGGGCCTTGGGGCCTTGCTGGGCGCGGGGTGGGGGGGTGGCGGGAGAGGGCGAGTTCCCAACCCATGGAGCCATCTGGGGACCTGAGGCTGCCCAGCGAAGGCTCTGGCCGGCAGGCAGGGCGGGCAGGACCGAGGCTCTGGGTTCGGGAAGGCGTGTTTCCTTTGTGTGGCCTCCGAGCCCCAGAGCAGTCAAAGAACAATTCGCGAAGCCTGGTCCTGGGTAAGCGTTGTTGGAGGCCTCCGTTTCCCGCGCTTGATGATCGGCTGGACGCATCTTGAGCGCCACCAGGGTCTGCTTGAGGAATGGCGCGATGTGATCTGACGTGGTGTGCCTCCTCCTTCCGTGCCTGTTGTTCCTTCGTTACTCCTTCCTCCCATCCTCCTCATTCCTACCCGCCTCATCCCCATCTCTTCATACCTCCCCCCCTAGTTCTTACCCTCCTTACCCGATGCCTCCTCCCTCCTCCAGATGCCTCGTTCCCTGTTCCACTTATTCCTTCGTGTGGTCACATGGAGAATCCCCCTACTACCCTTCTTCATCTCTCTCCCCAAATTCTCTTCATATTGAATATCCTCCCCCTCCTCCCCCTCCTTCACTCTTGTTCCACATGTCGTTGTCTCTCATCCCCTGGCAATCCGTTTCGAGAACGCAATCGGCACGCGAAGCGTTCTGGCCACCCTGTTATCCAACCTCAAAGTCAAGCAAATGTGTGCCGCATCACGATTCACAGCCCATGGAAGGGGGCACAAACACTTTTCCAAGGCAGACAAGGAACTCCTGGCATGATCTAACACCTATGACAACACCGACAGGGACTCCCACCAGTGTTGGCAACACATACAGCACACCTCAACAAATTTACCCACGCATAGCTTACCACGTAATTGAGTCCGAACAACTTTGCCGAGATACTGAATTCGCAGCAGATTCCCGAAACATGTTGCAACTTCTAACACTTTTCCAAACAACTGATCCAACAGTTGCGTACCCCTGCAATTCCGTGCAACGCAATGCCGATTGGTCATCTGGATGTCTTGATCGGCGGCGCCTTGGGCGCCTTGGACCCAAGCTGCGGTCGTGGCTGCGGCAGGGCGGCTGCGGCACAAACTGCGCACAGAGGCGGCAGGGAGAGACAGGAGGCAAAGGGGGGAGCGCGGAGCTGCCCCTGACCCAAGGTGCCCCATGTTTTTCCAAGGAAGCCACCAGGGCCTCCAGAGGACCCCCCACTGACTACCTACCAGACCACCCCAACCCAACCCGAAGACCCGAATTTCGGGTTGGGGGGGGGTATGGGCTCCATATGTGTTTTTCCAGTGTTCCCGGACCCCCCCCCACTAGAAATCGAGGGTAAATCTGAGCCTTCGGGTTGGGTTGGGGTGGTTTGGTGGGTGGTGACCCACGAGGCCCAGAGGACCCCAGGGACTCCAGGCTGTAGCCAAAAACTCGGGGCACCCTGGTCCAGGGGCGACACGCTGTGGCCACCCCTCCGTCTGCGGGGGTGGCCCGAGGGCGCGGCCGTGCTGCGCGCGAGCTGGCGACCAGAGAGGCGGAGCGCACGGCACGGTCCGCACGATCGAGAAGCCGCCTGTGGTTCCGGAGGCTTCCACGGCCTCTCGGGAAGCGCGAGAGTCTCGGAGAAAAGGCCAAGGCGCCCGGCCTGCAGCTGGCCCACAGAGCTGGCAGAGGCCCCCGGCCCACCAGGAAGGGCTTCGTCCCTGCGAGGGTCGCCACTTTCGAAAGCCGGAGCGCCGGGCCCAGTGTCCCGCAGAGCTGGCAGAGCCCTCCAACCCGCTGGGAGGAGCGCCATCCTCGCGCGGGTCGCCATTTCGTCCTTCGAAGGCCAGAGCGCCAGGCCCACAGCTGGCCCGCAGAGCCGGCAGGGGCTTCTGGCCCACCAGGAGGGACGCCATCCCTGAGAGGGTCGTCACCCTTCGAGGGCCAAAGCGCCCAGCCCACAGCTGGCTCACAGGGCGGGCAGAGCCCCTCAGCCCGCTGGGAGGCCTGCCCCTCCTCCTCCTCCTCCTCTTCCTCCTCCTCCTCCTCCCTCTCTTCTTATTCGTAGTATTCGTACGAATCCTCTTAGTATTATCATTATGTTCTGCGAATATGATGTTTCTTCTTATTGCTAATATTAGCATACGTATTATTCGTATCATTTTTATTACTAGTCGTGTTATGCTTATTCTTCTTAATTTTCCTCTTCCTCTTCCTCCTCCTCCTTCTCCTCCTCCTAGTCCTCCATCCCTTTTCCTCATAAACGAGTATTCCCTGTCGCACCCCGAGGCGTCTCGGTTGGACGGGCCAGGCGTTTCGCCTGAGACTTCCGCACATTCATATAAGTTTGATATTTGCAGCACTTGCACGGATGGAGGGCGTGTCGACTTCAAAATGTGGTTCTCGCCTGGGCGCCGCGCACATTCGTCTTCAAAGTTTGCTAGAGCTTCACGGATGAAGGCGGGTCGTTCTCAATGTGGTTTTCGTCCGAGCGCCGTGCGCATTCGTCTTAAAGCTTGTACAACAAAACGGATGGAGGGCGATTCCTTTTCAATAACGCCGCGCATTTTCGTCGCAAGAGTTTATTCCGGTTTGACGTCCCAAAAACCGGGTTTTGGTACAACGTGCAACTATCAGAACGCAACAGTCACGTTGACTCGCGGCGGTGAAATAATCCCAAGAATGGCGTTCTGGCACGATTCGGGATCGTCGGGAAGCAACCGTAAGGTTGATTCGCGGCGTCGCCATCCTAGTAATGGTGTTTTGGCACGGTTCAGGATGTTCGGACGGTTGTCATCCAGCAAGGCATGTTCCTCAAAGAAAAGACACTATTGCATGGACCCATGAAGATGGAACTTGGAGGGAGGGTGGATTGCAACATCGTTCGTGAGTCTTGGGCTTACACTGGTCCTCCTCCTCTTCCTCCTCCTCCTCCTCCTCCTCCTCCTCCTCCTCCTCCTCCCCTCCTCTTCCTCCTCCCCCTCCTCCTCCCCCTCCTCCTCCTCCTCCTCAGCCTCATCCTCCCCCACAAAGCCCAGCGGTCCCGTGGGTTGAGATCCACATTCCTCTCGGGGTCGAACACGGGGATGCGGACTTTGCCGAGGACCTTCTCGCCCATCGTCTGCTGGTCAATCACCTCAAGGGGTTTGGCGGAAGCTCCTCCTCCTTCCTCCTCCTCCTCCTCCTCCTCCTCCTCCTCCTCCTCATCATCATCATCATCCTCATCCTCCTCCTACTCCTGCTCCTCCTGCTCCTCCTGCTCCTCTTGCTCCTCGTCCTCCTACTCCTCCTGCTCCTGCTCCTCCTCCTCCTGCTCCTCCTCCTCCTCCTCATCCTCCTCCTCCTCCTCCTCCTCCCTCCTCTTCCTCCTCCTCCTCCCCCTCCTCCTCCTGCCATAGCGCCACCAACATATCGGTGAAATGTGTTTGAGTAGGTGGTAATCGCCGCCTAATCGTCTCCTCCTGCTCCTCCTGCTACTCGTCGTCCTCCTCCTGTCCCTCCTCCTGCTCCTACTCGTCCTCCTCTTCCTCCTCCTCCCCCCTGCCTTCTCCTACTCTTCATCCCCATCCCAGTCCTCATCACCCTACTCCTCCAACAGGTGCTCCTCCTCCTCCTCTTCCTCCTCCTCATGCTCCTGCTGGTCGTTCGTTCATACACCTCCTCCTCTTCCTCCGCCTCATCCTCCTGCTCAGCATCCTTTTCACTTCTGAGATTGTTACTCTCCTTTTACTAATATCCCACTCCTACTCTTCCAATTCCTCTTTCTCCTCCTCCTCCCCCTCCTCCTCCTCCTCCTCCTCCTCCTCCTCCTCCTCCTCCTCTTCCTCCTCCTCCACCGCACAAACACTGCTACAACTCTTCCCACGCAATCTCTTCCGGTTCCTCCGACTCCCCCTCCCGAGCGGCCCCGCGCCCGACACAACCGGATCGGACAAAAACGGGAAGCGCCGATGTTGCCCATTGAGCTTGTAGGGGGTAGAGAAGACAAGGACGATGGCAACGACAAGGCGGCGGATGACGAGAATGACAGCGTGGACGACGGGGGGGACAGCGAAGGGAGGAGGAGAAAAAGCAGGAAGATACGCACAAGGACGAGGGGGCCAGAGATGGAAGGCGAGCACGCAGAGGAACGAAGCGGAGGAGGAGGAGGAGGAGGAGGAGGAGGAGGAGGAGGAGGAAGGGACCGACGACGACGGAGGATGGTAAGGAACCCGAAGAGAAGGACGTCGAAGAGGGAGGAATCTTCGTGATTTTTTGAGGCTACCCTGGGGGTTGTTGGGGCCGTCAAAAGTTATTTCGGAGCACCCTGGGGGCCTCCTGGGGGCCTTCGGGGTCATCATGGGGGGCCTGCGGGGGTTAGTTTGGGTCGTCTCGACCTCTCCGAAACCGATTGTTCGAGGACGTCTCGGGCGAAACATCGGTTCATCAGGGCTCTGATCGGACAAAAACGGGAATCGCCGATGTTGCCCATTGGCTTCTTACGGAAAAACCTTGATAATGGCGACAACATGGCGGCGGATGAAGAGGATGACAAAATGGATGGGGAGCAGGAAAAAAAACGAGTACGAAGACAAGCACAAGGACGAGTGGGAATAGATGGAGGGAGGCCAATATTACGAGGTGGATCGAATCCGAGGAGGAGGGGCAGGAGCACGAGGAGGAAGAAGGAGAGGAAGAAAACGACGACGACGAAATTTGACGGCACGGGACCCCCCGAAGAAGAGGACGTCGAACAAAGCGGAAACATCGTGTTGTTTTACATACCACTTGACGTATCCAACCCGCCGGTCTTTCGGCATGCGTGATTCGTTGTCGTGGTTTTCACGGTCGTCGTCCTCGCCAATCCCAGATCAATTTAAACACGAACAACAACGACAACAGCAACGTCGTACAAAATCGGTTCCGCCCCGTTGCTTTCTGGCTGACGCAGGGGGTTCAAGGAGGGAGTAGGGGGGGGGCAAGGGACGGGCGCGGGGTCAAACGACCCCGCCCCCCCTGGGTCCTGGCGGAGATCCCGCGCGTGGTGGGGGAAGGTGGTCCCGGATCAGAATACTGCCCCCCTGTGGTCCAGGCGCGCCTGCTGGGGTCCCCAGGGAGGTCCCGCATTCGGGGTCGGCGGCACAGGCCGCAATGCCTCCCCACTACTCTGCGATGTACCCAACCCATCTACATCAAGTGACAAAATGAGTTGGCCCGAATTTGAATGGGAAACGGCATTGCAATCGCCGTCATTTGCAGCGCGAGCTGCGCGAGAAAAATGCACGCGTTAAAACAACTCGCTGAACAGCATCAGGAAGACGAGGACTGAAGCCCCAGGCTCGGAATGGAGACGGCGGTGGGAACGAGGGGGAAAAAGGTCGCGACGGGGGGCCGAAAAGTCTGCGCGGCAACAGCAGGGAGACGGCGAAAGAGGAACGCGACGACAACGAAAGAACGCGGGATGATGAACAGAAAGGGCGACGCTTCTTCCCAACGGCGCACTGGACACGCAGCGCGGCCCGCGCAATAGCTCGTGCACGTAGCGAACGAGGCCTTGCTCGCGCGCCAGCTTCGCCGCCTGTCTCCCGCACCTTTCACCGCGGGAGCTCAACGCCCGCAAGCGCGCCGCCAGATGCGCTGGCGGCCCGCGGGCAAAGAAATGAAGGCCGGGGCCGCGCACGATCAGCAGTTTGTGCATCATCGTCGCCCCGGACAGCATCACGTAGAGATGAATACAGAGGTGGTCCAGTCTCTTCGGGTCCTTGAACCCGGCGTCGACAATGACTCCGCGGCGCATGGTGTCCAGCCCTGGCAGGCCATGGACGGCAGGACCTGGCATGGGAGATTACCCGGCCAACGCGCGTGACCTTATGCTTGCAGACTTCGAATGAGTTTGGCCTCTGCGGTTCGATGACGACGAGGCACGCCGCGCGCGCGGCGTCGAAGATGCGATCGAGTTCCAGCATCATAATCGTCATCTTCATCATCATCATCATCATCATCATCATCATCATCATCATCATCATCATCAGCATCATCATCATCATCATCATCATCATCATCATCATCATCATCATCATCATCATCAGCAGCAGCAGCAGCAGCATCATCATCATCAGCATCATCATCATCATCATCATCATCATCATCATCATCAAACTCATCAGCATCATCATCAGCATCAACATCATCATCACCATCATCATCATCATCAGCAGCATCATCATCATCATCGTCATCATCATAAACATCAGCAGCAGCTTCATCATCATCAGCAGCAGCATCATCATCAGCATCATCAGCATCACCATCATGCTCCTCATCATCAGCAGCATCAGCAACAGTAGTCGCAGCATCGTAACCACCATCAGAAGCAACAGCGGCAGTAGCAGCATCACGACCACCACCATCACCACCACCATCATCATCATCATCATCATCATCATCATCATCACCAGCATCATCAATCATCATCATCATCATCATCATCATCATCATCATCATCATCATCATCAGCTTCATCATCGTCATCAGCGCAGCAGCAGCATCATCGCCATCATCATTACCACCAGCATCATCACCATCAGCATCATCGTCAGCAGCATCATCAACATCATCATCAACATCATCATCAGCGCCATCATCATTAGCCGCAGCATAGTCATGATCATCGTCGATGACATCCCATTAGCACCATCATCATAATCAGCATCACTAGCATCATCATCAGGAGCAGCAGCATCATCATCATCAGCACCCTACTCATCATCATCGTCATCAGCAGCATCATCAACATCAGCATCACCAGAAACAGCAACAGCAACAGCATCAGCATCATCATCAGCAGCATCAGCAGCATCATCATGGGCAGTGTGATTTTATCAGTGGTATCAGCTTCAGCATCAACAACGCATCATAAGCATTAGCAGCATGTTCACCATCACCATTATCAGCAGCAGCATCATCAGCAGCATCATCATCATCATCATCATCATCATCAGCATAATAATAATCACCATCAGCATCATCATCGTCATCAGCATCATCTCCATCAACTCCTTTATCATAACACTCATAATCATCATCACGGCTCTCCCAAGCCTGGAGACACGAGGTGTTACACGTGAAGGAATCCCGTGCCCACTCAAACAATCGCCACCCAGAATGCAGGGCTGGCACGGTGACGAGACCTGCCGTAGGCAACTGGATACACTTGATTGCACGGCAGGCGATCCCAGCATCGCGCAATACCTGGTACGGACACGACTGGAAGCGCTGCTGCTTGAGTATGTTTGTTGCTGATGCTGCCGTTCGCCGTCGTTCTCGGCCGTTTGATACTGTTCGGCGTCGTTTGCTGCTGAATGGTGCTGCGCAATGTGGCTTGCTGCTGCGTACTCTTGGTTCCTGCCACACAATTTCTCCTGCCTCACATCGTCTTCGCACCGCCTCCTCACTGCTCCTCCTCATTGCTCCTCGTTGCTTCTCGCCCATCCTTTTCCTCCTCCAACTCCGCGCTCCTCTTCCGCGCACCTATTTCTCGTCCTTCTCTTCTCCTCGTCTCCCTCCTCATTCCTCCTTATCCTCGTGGTTGCTTCTACAAAATCCTTTTGAAGACACATTGATTGCGCGGGCCCGCCATCATGGCAACCCGCCTGGAAATGTTGACCCGATAGTCCTGCCAATCCGCCTGGGCGTTTTAACCCGCCTGGCCGGTTCCACTCTCCTGACCAGGTTGAACCTGGCTCTGTGTTGAGTCTCCTGGAGCACTCGGGGCCACCTTAGCCTCTTGGAACCAAAGATGTAAGATGAACATAGCAACGTTGCCGAACAATCCTTTTTCGGGAGGATCCCTCTCGCCCCACGCCCGTTGGTGGGAACAAGTCTTGGCGCGGGTACCAGGAGCGCTTCTGCCCCTCAAACTCCTACGCGCTGCTTTCAGCCCATACGAGAATCGCTTGGCGCTTCCCAGCACACACTGGATCCCAGCGCCCCGCATAGCACACTGGATTGCACGGTAAGCGCGCCCCGCCAATTGCACGGGAATTCGCGGCAAGTGGGCCCCGCGCCCTGCCCCACGAAATGCTCTTGATCGTATGGCATGGGGGGCCTGTACCACACAAGATGCGCGCGATTATTCGGCAGGTGGGCCCAGCGCGCCACAACACAACGACCCCTCGTCCGCGACAATCCTCCGCCTCATTTTCTCCTCCTCATCATCATCGAACCGTTGTATTATACCTGTCTTCTTTCCCTCCATCATCGCCAACGCCGAAATGACGCAGAAGAGCAAGTCAAAAGTTACGTGTCTCCCAAGCCTCAGGACATGAGGTGTCACGCGTGACGGCTTCCTGTCTATCGCCTCCCAGGGCGCTGGGCTGGCACAATGGCGGGACTTGACGCAGGCAGCTGGATATATGCCTGGCCAGTCAAGAATGGGCACGATCATTCTGCTGCGGGGCCCTGGCCCCGGCGGAACCAACTGGCTGCTGGAGCACGCCAGCTATCATCCGAAACGGACGGGCCGACTCGCGCACCGACATAGAGAATTGCGGGGACGATCTCGAATTCGGCTCACTGGGGCAGGAGGCTGTGAAGCCAGGTCTGCACGGCTGCTCGGAAGGAACCCGAAAACATCGCCTGACCTCCTCTGCACATCGTCCTCCTCCTCCGCCTCCTGCCCCTCCTCCTCCTCCTCCACCCCTTCCCATCGCAGTCCCTCTCCGTCGCCTGCCCCACCCCACTCCACCCCGTCCCTTCCCCCTCCTTCCGTGCGTCCCTCCCTCCCCCTGCCTCGCTTCACTCCCTCCGTCTCTCTCGCTCCTTCGCCCTCCTCTTCCACCGCGTCCTCCTCCGCCGCAGCCACCTCTGCCGTTTCTGCCTCCCGCCTCCCGCCTGCGTCTCCGCCCCCCGCGTCCGACCCCCCCTTCTCCGCCTCGAGCTCGAAGACCAGATGCTTGTTCTTGCCCTCGGGCATGGGGTCCATGTCCTCGGGGCGCTCGGCGCGCGCTGGGGGCACTTGGAGAGCTGCAGGCAGGCAGGGCAGGACGGGGAAATCGAGGAGAGCCTGTGCACGTTGTGTGCGGGCGTGTGCGGAGCGCCCTCGCTGGGCCTCCTGGTGGTGCTCTGCCTCGCCCTGCCGCTCGCTCACTGTCGCCCTGGCCGATCGGGGCATCCCGATTCGGCTCTCCCCCCCCGCCCACGCTGCCCGTGCCCCCGGCGTGCGCATGGCACGGTCGACCCCCTCGCGTGGATCCCCGCCCCATCTCCTGAGAGGCCTGGCCGCGCGAGCTTGTTGCTCCTCCCGAGGTGCCACGCATCGACGCGGCGCGCGAGCGCCGCGGCGCCGACAAGTGTGTGGAGCGCGCCACGGTGGCGAGCTGGCACCTCGAACGCGCGAATGGAAGAGATCGGCTCGAAGCGAGACACCGCCACTGCACGGCAGGGACGTGGTAGGCCCTTCATTCGGAAGGAGGTGCACTCCCCGTCCGTGCTGTGCTGTGGTGGTGTCTCGGCTCAGGAACGAGGTATACACTCCCCTGACTTGGCGAAGTGGGCATACGCACCGCTCCTGAGCCTGGGATGGGCCTGGCCGGTGGCGGTGGTTGCGTATACTCGCCGTCCGATCTCAGAACGTGGCCTCGTCATGTGGAAGTCATGAGTCATACCAGCCCTCTGGGTGGGGGTGGACGCCCCCCTCCCCTCCTCACGAGCTGGCAGAGGGACCATGTGGGCCCAACGTGGCTCCAATGTGGCACCAGGCATGCCAAGATGACCTACAAGATGACGCAAGATAGGCCAAGTTGAATCAACGTTTCAAGCCTCCAAGCGGTCCAGCGGTATTCCCAAGACGGCTCCAGGTGGGCACAGGGCCCCCCATGAGATCAGAATCTGTCAAAAGCATCAAATGCCTCTACGAGTGATGCACGGACTGGCCGTGTCGCTTCCGATGGGCTTCTGAGGCTCAGGACAGCTCCAGGATCCCCCCGAGAGTGCCACGAGGGCGCAGAAGGGACCCGAGACCCTCCCAGGCCCCAGGGGGCACCCCGAGAGAGCCCCGAGGTGGGCCCCAAGAGACCCTTGCTCGGGCTCCCGCGGGCGGCCTTGATCCATGACCCTTCTTTGGTGGGCGGTCTCCGGGATCGGCCCCAGGGGGGGCCCAAGTGGCCCCTGGGCGAGCCCCACCGAAGCGTCAGCACAGAACGCCCCACGTCATCGTCCTGCCGGAAGGAACGCCAAAGAAGGAACGCAGGGGCTTTGCTGGCCACGGCCAGCCTCGGCTTCGACCAGGTTCCCCGACCTGGATCTTAAGGACAGACAGACAGACAGAGAAGCCAGGCGCCCGGACGGCGCATCGGCAACAGAGCATTCACTAAGGATTGACCGGCCCCCGCGCGCACCGAGCAAACGTGCGTCGTGCGAGCGAGCGGCGGGCGACAAATCGACGTCGTGAGTTCAAAACACAATTCGTCGGGACGTCGGCGCGTCGACAAGAGGAGGGGGGAGAGAGGGGGGGGAGGAGGAAGGCCCAACAACCCGAATCTAAAAAACGGCCCAACAACCCGAACCCCGCCTGCTTCCGAATCGGTCCTCATTGCAGCGTCTTGACTGTGTGGTTGGCTCAGGGTTTCTCCGCGCTCCTCCGCTGCCTCAGAAGGGCTCGGCCGGTCGACCGGCCCTCCGCGGCGCCCCCGCGAGGGGTCCCCCCCAGCCTGCCGAAGGCGATGCGAGGGCGGCACGTGCAGGTCCTCCTCCTCCTCCTCCTCCTCCTCCTCCTCCTCCTCCTCCTCCTGAAAAAAAAACGAAACCCTTTGTTGGCACTGAAAGCGCCTGGGTGCACGAGGAGGGCGAGAGGAGCTTCCGAACCCAGAGCGGTCCTCACTTCAGCGCCTTGACTGTAGGGCGGCGGCCCACCCTGTGTGCCACTGCTTCTACCCCCCTGCCTGGGCAGGGCACATCGCGCCTGAAAGCGTTGCTGGATGGGCTGCTGTGGATGTGCAAAGCGTCAGGCTTTGCTTGGATGTGTCGGGGCCATCTGTGATGGGCTTGCCAGCTGGTGGGTTACTGGGCTCGTCTCCACTCGTGAAGAGGCTTAAACTTGACAAGCCTGACAGGCACACTTCACCTGACGGTCAAAAACACACCAGCACCCACCAATATCCAGCTGGTGTCTTGCATGTCGGACTCCACCTCCCTGTCCTCCTCCTCCTCCTCCTCCTCCTCCTCCTCCTCCTCCTCCTCCTCATCGTCATCATCATCAGCAGCAGCAGCAGCATCAGCATCATCATCAGCAACATTATCAACATCAGCATCATCAATGGCTCCCGCTGTGGCGCCGGGTACACTCGGCTCAAGAAGCTTGTCACAATTACGAGGATGGAGCGGTGGTAGTTTTCGAAATGAGGCTCTCGCCTCAACGCCGCACACGTGTGTGCTGAAAGTTCGCAGCATCGTAACAGCAACAAAAATGGAGAGAGGGTCGTTACCAAATTGCTAATATCGCTTTGGCACCGCGCACTTTCGTCACCGCATGTTGCATCAGAACAGGAAAGTCGCTTTGAACATGCGGCTCTCACCTTTGCCCCGCCAACACGAGGATGGAGGGCGGTTCCTGTCCGAAATGGGACCACCACTTGTGAGTGTTGCAACGTTCAACACCAGAAACGTGAACTTGTGCAAGAGCCACACAGGTAGGGCCGACTTCCTCTAGTTTCAAAACGGGGAGCTCGCTGGACACCTCGCTGACCTGTATTAGGGGGAAAACAAACCTACCTCGCTTTTGACCACCCTCGCTTCCAAGAGATACCAAACGATGCCAAATTGCAGCCTGTACTGGTCAGGCCGCTTCACGGAGAGGCGCGTGGTATGGCTTGGTTTTGCCTGGGAGCGAAAGCGGGGTAGGTAATTCACGCTCTGATGTATAGTCTTACCCTGTCACATCCCTCACTGCTTGCTGAAGGATGCAGTCGGCTCCGTGCCAAAACGGGTCCCTCGCCTGAACGGCAGGCCCATAGGGTGATGAGATCTCAGGAGGACGGCTTACAGGGGCTTCTGAGGAAGGGATTCGAGACAGGAGGACGCAATACATGGGGGGCAAACACAAACCTGCCTCGCGTTTGACCACCCTCGCCTCCAAGAGATACCAAGCGATACCAAACTACGGCATGTACTGGTCAGGCCGCATGACGAGGAGGCGTATGGTATGACTTGGTTTTGCCTGGAAGCGAAAGCGGGGTAGGTAATTCACGCTCTGAATACAGCATCGTTGATGCATCGTGGCTTTACTCTGGTCATCCTCCTCCCCCTCGTCATCATCATCATTGAACTGTTCTGCCTCCCCTCATCCCTCCATAGTTCCCCCCGACCACCGACCAGAACTCACTGTGAAAAAACTGTCCCTGGAACTCTCCCAAGAGTCTATCCTGGCTGGAGTTCGTCCCCGATCGGTTTGAAGGTCCCGAGGCCCGAGGCCCCAAGACCGCCCCAAGATCGCCCCACGCAGCCTCCCGAAGACCCCCCGAGAGGCAGTACGCCCAACACCTGAAGAACTCAATGTGTTCTGCCTGCCGCCGTTTCGCTTACAAAGGCTCCAAAACGGGCCAAGGGAGCCCCAAGAGTGACCGCTGTCAAAAGAACACCCACTCACATCGGGCTAGAAGTTTCGCAGCGGCCTCGGGGAGACGCCTAATGATTCGAAGGCAGCGCAACGCCGGTCGGCGAACACCTTGCGTTGCCAAAACACCATCCCTCGAAACGAAGCTAGACGCCCTTAGTGAAGGTCTAGAAATTCCCCAACGGCGTCATATAACCGGCAAAACGACAGCTCTGGGCCACTGTGATAACCTAGAACGTGTCTAGACCACCTCCACCCGAAAGCCTGGACGGGCTGTCGGAGTTACTCGGCGCGGGGGTCTGCGTCGCAGCCTGGTGCCATCTTCGCGCCTGCCGAGCAGCCCGCGGCAACAGACACAAACAACACCACCAAAAACAAATCCTCTGGGGAAACCAACCGTGCCGAACCCGCTACCGCGCGGACCTCTCCTGAAGGAAAACGAGGGACGGGTAGAGTTTTGGGTACCTTTTCCTCCTCTCACCCTCTGGCACTGGGATGGAAGTGGCAGCCCTGCATGAGGCAACGGAACGGAACGCAAGCCGACGCAGGGCTCCGCGGGGGAGCGGGCGGGAGGGCTGAGGCCCGCTCACATGCTGATGCCATCGCCCTGCAGATGGCCCCGGGCCTTTGCCTTCGCAGCTTGGTGCCCAGTCGTCGCAACCAGCGGTTGCGTCCCATTGCCGCACATCGTGCCTCAAAGATGGGCCCAAGGGGAGCACGAGGCGGCCAGGCGACCCAGAGAGCGCCCAGGACCGATCCGAGAGCGCCCCGCAAAAGGGCCCCGAGAGGCGATGTTCGGGGCTCCATCGGGGGGGGTGCTGATGCGTGCCGTCCGCGTCTTTGCCGGTGGCCTCCAAGATGGCCCCAGGAGGTCCTCCAGGGACCCCCCAAGAGCCCCGAGAGCCTCACGGGAGTCCCAGAAGGCCTCCAAGATGGGCCTCAGAGGCGGCCCCAAGATGGCCCGGTTCAGCTGGACCCAAAGGCTCGCACTTCGAAAGACCCACGAAGCCATTCATGGTTCACTCCTGGGCCTGCTGGGGCTGATCCCGATCTTCTGTTTGAAGGCTGGTCCCACACTTTTTTAAACTGCATGTTCCTACAGTTCCTTCATCAACGCAATTCGCCTGGGCATCGTTGCTGCAAAGACTGGTGGGAATACGAAAAGCGTCAATAACTTCTGTTGTTGCAGTGGCTTGGTATCCAACTTTAGATGCGTCATGGCCTGCCTGACTTATAGTGTAATTGCACGTATCTGCGCATATGGGTATGTATTAAGCGTTGGTATTGACGTGGAGTCTTACTGGTCATAGTAAAACGAGTCCGTGCTATAGCTCTGGACTAAGCCGTAACTGTAGATTAAATGTCTCATAGGTTAAGCATTTGCTCTTACTAGATGTATGTTAATGCGCCGTACCTACGCGTACGCGCTGTGCTAGATTTATGTGAACGATAAGCGAAGTGTCGATTGCCTTCAGTGAATCAGACTGGGTTGCTTGTCACCATTCAGCTGTAGCGTTAGCGTCAACTGCCACTTGCTTCCGCGAGTGATCAATTAGATGCTCACGTCCAGCGTTCACTCTCACTGCGGTTTCAGATACACACATGTACCTGTAGCACTCGATGTCATTTGAGATTACACACATGCTTTAGGTATACCGCAGCTTGATATTGAGCTTGATATTGAGCCCTGTATGTAGCTCCGACCAGAGTTTAAGTGTCGCCGTCGCATGCAGCTTCAGCGGCAGCTCAAACCACGCAGTGGCTGTACAGTCTTGCTGTTGCCTTCGCACTGCAAGAAAATGAGGGCACTGTCTCTCAAAGCGCCCTGCTACCCTCGCCCAAATGAACATCAAATCTGATTGACTCTCCCCTCGATGCTCGCCCCCCTTCGCCCCTTCAATGTCGCTCTCCGTCAATGGTTTAGCATGGCGAATTGCAATCTGGGCGGGTGCGGTTCGGACGTTCCACGATGACCCGCACTGGACAAAGAGCGCCCACAAGTTCTTCACACGCAATGCCACCCAAACCCGGACGATCAAATAAGCTGCACAACGCACTTTTCATTCCGAGGGTAGCCCGAGGTCTGCGCATGTGCGCACAGCTTTGCAAGTACGCCACGCACGATGCGAGACTCCACACTACGACCAGAAGCTACGATTTCCAGGGTGCGGTGGCCTCACAGAGGCTCTCGCAAATCAGATCTTCAACAGAGGATGTCCGTTTCAAATAGCGAAACCCTTCAAAACCTTCCTGGCTGCCGCCAATAGAGCAACTATAGATAGACGGCGCAGGGACATAGACGTTCATCTGATCCCAAGCCTGGCCCCCTCCCAAGAAGAGAGCACGCCGTCCGGCAGCTTGAAGACCCAACCGCCGCTGCTCTCAAGGTTTGGTATGGCTGCCCAATTCGGAGAGCTGCCAGTAATCGGGACCGTTGACTGCACCTGGCGCGCGAGGTCACATCAAGCGCAGTGAGCCAGAGAGGCTGCAACCCCCAGGGCCTCTCCAGGTCTCGTCAATGCATCCTGGACGCGCGCTGCATAAGATGCACATGCAGGAGTACTTATGCCAAAACTTGACCCTGACTCCCAAGCAGACTCACAACGAAGCATGCCGCACGTCAAGCCGCCCCACGCTGAGCGGGGTAGAAGAGCTAGCACCCTCCGACAAACCCCACTGGGAAGAATCACCGGGGGGAGGAGGAGGAGGAGGAGGAGGAGGAGGAGGAGGAGGAGGAGGAGGAGGAGGAGGACGACGACGACAACGACGACGACGACGACGACGACGGGGACAATAACATGGAAGACGAGTTCGAGAGTCGGAGGGTCAGGCCCACTCTGAGACCATCAGCGGTGTATACGCCACGCCCTCCTGTCCTGGAGAGGAGGGCATATACACACAGCTCCTGGGCCCAAGAAGGGCCCGGCCAGGGAGAAGTGGATACAGTCAACCCGTATAGTAAGGATGCGCGGTAAGGATGCAAGGGCCCTGGACGCCCATGCCGAGGCTCTTCGAGCCAGACTGGCCATCGAAAGTGGTTGAGGATGGACCCAAGATCTACCGAAGAGGCAAGGATGCAAGGGTACCCCCGGGAAGTCCATCATCCTTACTATGCGGGTCGACTGTATGTGTAGATGTCGCCGCCCGGTGTGCTCCTCCTCTGAGCCTCCAGGCCCACCCTGAAACCATCAGCGGTGTATGCGCCACGCCCTCCTGGCCTGGCCTGGCCAGGAGGCCCGATACACACGGCTCCCGGGACCAGGGAGGGGAAACCAGGGAGGGCCCGGCCAGGGCGCGGTGGACACGTGTAGACTTCGTCGCCCGATGTGAACCTCCTCTGAGTCTTCCTGCGCTCCACGCGCTGGAGAGTCCGGGAGCTCCGCCCGCGACGCCGCTCGGCCCGCCGCCGCCGCGGCGCCTCCCGCCGCCGCGGCGCCAGGAGCGCCCCCACGGGGCCTCGGCGGGGGGCGCCCCCGGGGGCCGTGCGGCGACCCGGCACGGCCGAGGGCGGGAGGCGGAGGAGCGAGGGCGAAGGAGGGGCCAGAGGCGAAGGGGGGGGGGGGAGGAGGGGGGAGGGAGGGGGGAGGGAGGGGAGGAGGGAGGGAGACCGAGAGGAGGGGGGGGAGAGGAGGCCTTGTTGCCCTTGACGGCCAAATCCCCCATGACCTGGGGAGCCCCGAACTGCACGGCCTCGAGCGTGCCGACCGAAGAGTCCTGCGGAGGGCACGAGGGCAACAACCTGCTCTGAGCTCCACTCGCCTCAACTCCTTCCTCCTCCTCCTCCTCCTCCTCCTCCTCCTCCTCCTCCTCTCCTCCTCCTCCTCCTGCTCCTCCTCCTCCTCTTCGTCCTCCTCCTGCTCCTCCTGCTCCTGCTCCTCCTCCTCCTCCTCCTCCTCCTCCTCCTCCTCCTCCTCCTCCTCCTCCTCCTCCTCCTCCTCCTCGGGGGAAGCGCTGGGCGGCACCCGCTCCCCTTTCCAAGCACCAAACCCTGCTGGTCGAAACTGTTCACGACAGGCCTTTCGAGAGAGATTGTTACGTGTCCGATCTCCAGGACCCTTTGGGACATTTCTCACCGCGCAACACTGCGCAACACCGCGCAACGCCGCGCAACGCCGCGCAACGCCACCGACTGACGAGCACCCGAGCTGCACGGACGAGAGCCCGCCCCGACTCGAACCAGCGCGCCGCGACTCCAATCTGCTGGTCGGCCTCAGTGGCATGGGCAAGAAACAAGCATATGAATGCAGCTCCCGTCCTCAAATGGCCGACTTTGGATTGCACGGGGTAGGTCGAACGGGCACGGGGCATTTCAGCAAAAGCTGATGATTACGACGCTGATGATTACGACGGTGCACGACAGCATTTCAGCAATATGATTGGCAGAAGCATCGAGTGAGAAGGCGGTCAAAACGGATCGGGTTTCGGCCTGGCCCAGTAGGCGGTTCTGGCAGGAAGCCACGAAATCTTGAGGAATGGAGGCGTTTGAAGTAGACTGTGCTTCGGGTTTCAAATTACCCTGGCGATGGACACAACCATATGCAGTTGTGAGTTCCGCAATGGAGCGCATCCTCTTCGGTGGAGCTCCCTATGGGGCCACGAAACGTATCAGGGCTGTGCCGACGTGGGTGGCGAGGACGTATGTGGTCACAGCCGCATGTGGTCACAGCAACCGGGGCCTCGGTGGAGCTTCTTATGGGGCAACAATACATGTGAGGGGTGTGCCGAAATAGGTGGCGGGGACGCATGTGGTCACAGCCACTGGGGCCTCGGTGGAGCTCCCTATGGGGTCACGAAACGTCTGAGGTTGTGCCGAAATGGGTGGCGAGAGCGCATGTGGTCACAGCCACTGGGGCCTTCGGTGCAGTTCCCTATGGGGTCACGAAACGTGTGAGGTTGTACCGAAATGGGTGGCGGGGACGCATGTGATTTCAGCCACTGGTGCCTTCGGTGGAGCTCCCATATGCGACCACGAAACATGTGCGGAGTGTGCCGAAATAAATGGACATGCGGAAGGCAGAGGCAAGGGTGTGAGGAGGGTGAGTCGGCGGACGAGGAGGAGAAGGAGGATAATGAGAAAGAGAAGCGCGGGGCGCTGTCTCTTCAAAACTAGGACCGAACACCACAGGAGGCTTGGGAGAAAAACAACATCACATTCTTATCCCTGCCCAAACTTCGATGCAACAACAAAGCAACACACAAGCGATGTACTCCGCATTCCCCACATACTCAGTCCGCACTGGCGGGATCTCGCCGAAGCGGACCCAGGAGAGGGCGAGGACAAATCAAGAATAGCCCAGAATCGAACCGTTAACATCGCATCGGTGACCAAAATAAATCGATCGGCGGAAATCTGCAGCCGAGTCGGGAGACATCGAATCGGCGGTTATCGGCAGGCCAGTAAGGCCTCAGTTGAGAAACCGAAATCTAAAGGGGGTCCGAAGTCGAATCGAATCGGAATCGGAATCAAGGGAAATCGAATCGAGACGGAGTCAAACTGAGCCCTGCAAACCCGCAGTGCCCTCGACTCTGACTGGGAGGAGGCGAAGTGGGGGGGCAGCGGACCTCGGCGACAACCCTGTGGGACCCCCGACAGGCGCCGTGTTTTTGTTGTGCGGGATGTATGTTGAAGGCGAATATGAAGGCAAAATCTGAAGAAATCGTGATGAGCCTGTGGAGGCACAGGTGAGAAAACCGTTGCAAATAGAAAGCGGCTGTATGAGCAAGCGGTTGCAAGGCGCGGTGGGTCCTTGATCCGAGGTACCATCCTGATGCGCTTGGTAAGTTCCGTGTTCAGGACCTCGGCCTGCGTGACCAGGGTCTTGGAGACCTCTGGGGGCAGAGCACCCTGCCACGCACCAGAACCCCCTCCTTCCCTCCTCCCTCCGCCTCCTCCTCCCCCTTCCCCTTCCACCTCCACCTCCCCCCTCCCTCCACCTCCTCCCCCTCCTCCTCTCCTGGGGAGTGAAGGGGAGGCAACGTCGAGAGGGGGAAGCTGCTAAGAAACGTCGACTCCAGCAGCACGATGCTCGCCCGCATCGATGGGATGAGAACAACGATGACGACGACGACGACGACGACGACGACGACGACGACGACGACGACAAACGTCGATTCCAGAGGCACGATGCTCGCCTGCACCGATGGGATGAGAACGACGACGACGACGACGACGACGACGACGACGACGACGACGACGACGACGACGACGACGGCGACAGAGACGGGGATGGGGCAAGGGAGGAGAGAGGGAGGCACCCATGCGAGCGGAAAACCGACTCAGGTGACTTGACCCGAAGATGTTTCGAGGCGCATCACAGCCGAAGCCGAAGCCAAAGCTGAAGTGCACAGAGAAGGAAACGATACACCCTGCAGGCTCGGGGAACACAGCAAGACATCTCGAGTTTGCAACCAGCTTGTCGAGGGCGACGAGGGCCCTGATCGCTACTGCACGCCATCCCTCCTCTCCTCCATTGAGCGAGTTGGGAAAGTCGCGCGATGGGCCGGCTCGGAACCTGACCGCGACCCCGCCATCATGCCTTTCCCCCCGTCCCTCTGTCCCCGTCTCCCCCCCCTCCTCCCTCTGACCATCTGCATCCCTGCTACTCTCTCCCTTCCCCGCCTCGTCAAACTTCTCTCGCTCCTCCTCCTCCTCCTCCTCCTCCTCCTCCTCCTCCTCCTCCTCCTCCTCCTCCTCCTCCTCCTCCTCCTCCTCCTCCTCCTCCTCCTCCTCCTCCTCCTCCTCCTCCTCCTCCTCCTCCTCTCCTCCTCCTCCTCCTCCTCCTCCTCCTCCTCCTCCTCCTCCTCCTCCTCCTCCTCCTCCTCCTCCTCCTCCTCCTCCTCCTCCTCCTCCTCCTCCTCCTCCTCCTCCTCCTCCTCCTCCTCCTCCTCCTCCTCCTCCTCCTCCTCCTCCTCCTCCTCCTCCTCCTCCTCCTCCTCCTCCTCCTCCTCCTCCTCCTCCTCCTCCTCCTCCTCCTCCTCCCCCCCTCCTCCTCCTCCTCCTCCTCCTCCTCCTTATCCTCCTCATCCTCCTCCTCCTCCTCCTCTTCCTCCTCCTCCTCCTCCTCCTCCCTAAAAAATTGAGGCCCCTCCCACCCTTCCCGTGCTCCTGCTGGAGGAGGGGGGAGGAAGATATAAGAAAGGACGAACAAAAATCATAGCCTACCCCTGCTCCTGCCGCCCCCCCTGCCCCGGTCTCCCCCCACCCATCCCGCGCGCCTCGTTCGCGTTGGCGCCAGTGGGCAGGAAGATGGAGACCTGGGCGGGGCCCCGAAGCTGGCTGACAGCCCAGGACTGCCAAACAGGGAGTGGCGGCGGTGGTTCGTCGTAAGAGCCTTCGATACCTATTCGACGCGAACATCCCCATACGCGTACCTCGTTGTCTTGCACGTTGGCCGGGTAACACTATGGTCGGCACCATTGTGGGTGCCCAAATGCAATGCCTGCTGCATCGCAATGCTCATATGGCTACAACAAAATGAACGTCGACCCCCCAGAACGAACGAGCGTCCAGAGCCGCAAGCAGGCGTGTCGACCGAGATATCCCCACAGCTTTCCCACAAATAGTATACATGCTACATCGCGGTGGCAATGTGTCTCGGCCTTATCACCACTTCGATGTAGCAGGCATGACATGTGGACCACCCAGGCGGGAGCCAGCCGGGGGGTGCCGCACGGGCCCGTCCGCGCCCAGATGGTGGGGATGTCTACAGCGAAGCGCCCGTGTGCGGCCGTGGGCCCGTGTCTGTCCGTCGCCCCCATGACCACCACGACAAGACGGGCATGCCGCTTGAGCACCCCACTGGGGAGGGCGACTGGGAGAGGTGCGCGGTCCCGTTGTGGCGCTCGGTTTGTGCGACTGTCCGCAGCGAAGCGCAATGTCGCGGCTGTGGACGCGTTTCTTTTAGAGCCTTGTGCCCATCGCGATGTAACAGACATGGCACGTGGACCACTCGGGAGGAGCCGACTAGGGGTGTTGCACGGGCCCGTTCGCGCCCGGCTTGTTGGGATGTCCAGAGCAAATTACCCGTTCGCGACTTCGCACTCGCATTCTTTCAGAGCGTCCATGGCCGCAAACTGGCGGTTCGCTCGAGACATCTCCACACTCGAGGCACCACCGGGCCCGTGCAACACCCCCAGTCGGCTCCAGGCTGGGAGATCCGAATGCTATGCCTGCTACATCGCGGTGACTGTGGGGTGCTGAAGAAGAAACGAGTGCGGAGGCGCAAACGGGAGTTTCGACTTAGACGTTCCTTCCATCTGGGCGCGGATGTGCCTCTGGAGCTCCCTTGGTCGGCCCCGCTTGGGTAGTCCGAATGCCGTGCCTGCTACATCGCAGTGGCCATGAACGTCTGAGCATGAATTGATACGTGCATGCGGCTCTGAGTATGAGTTAGTCTGAGCACGAGTGGGTATGGGTATGAGCGGCTGTGTGTGTGTGGGTGAGCCTGAATGTGAGTGCACCTGAGTTTGAACGAGTCTGAGAATAACTCCGCTGAGTGTGACCGCTCTGTGTATTTGACCATGGGTGTGAATATGCTGAATTTGGATGAGTGTGACAGCTCTGCGTATGAGCATGAATACGACTAGGCTGAGCGTGCGTGTGCGCGTAAGTATGAGTGCGGATGCGTGCGTGCGTGACCTGAGCGAGGGTGAGTTAGAACGAGTCAGAGCGTGTACAAGTGAGTCGGAATAAGAGTGAGTCTGAGTTTGAGTGAATACGAATGCATGGTGAGTCTGGGATGAGCCTCGGTAAGAGTAGGCCGCGTATGAGTGGATCTGAGCGTGAGTGGCCCGAGTGTGTCTTGGGTCTGGTTGGGTACGTCTGAGTGTGGGTGCTTCTGAGTGTGAGTGGCTCCAGGAGGGGGGAGAGTCGAGACGGGAGTGAGGCGGAGAGGCCCCACTAATAGCTTCTGGACTCAGAGATCCCTACATGTGCACCGTGTTCTGGCGTATTTATTGCTTACGAGTGCGAGGATATGAACGGGTCTGAGAGACCGGGTGGGCCGAGACATCCCCGCAATCTGGGCACGGATGGGCCCGTGAAATACACCCCAGCGACTCTCCCTTGGGACCCCAAAGCGCCATGCCCGATACGTCGATCTGATCATGCGGCACTGCACATCCGCCACTGGCAATTCCTTTGCCTCATCCTCTAAGCCTCAATCATCACTACTCAGGAATTCGCCGGGGGAAGCCACCAGACCACTCCAGGGGAGGGTATTTTTCGACACCCCTCACGAGGATCGTGGCATCCGAGGGGGGAGCCGCAATCGACTACCCCCAAGAGCCCCCCAAGAGGCCCTGGGGGCCTCCAAAACGCCGCCAAGGAGCCCCAAGAGACTCCCAAGAGGTCCCCAAGAGGCCCCCAAGAGGCCCTAAAGAGGGCTCCAGGGCCGGCGGCATGAGCGAAGCGATTAAATAGTAAGAGGTTCGGACCTCGAGTTCACAACTCTCCTTGGCCTTCCCACGGCTCCCCCGGGCTCCCACGCGGCTCCCCGCATGACTTGTTCGGACCCGGCCCTAAGACCCCGAGATGCCCCAAGATCGCACCAATGAAGGGGAACTGGAACACACAAATAAATACACACAAATAAAAATATCCCCCATATTTTCCCATATTTTCTGGGTTTCTGTCTTCCCCCCCACTTCCCATATTTTCCCATATTTTCTGGGAATCGCCGATTAATTGTGTCTGTGTGTTTTTTCCCCTCCTGAACCAAGACGCCCAAGATGGCGCCAAGACTGCCCAAGAGGCTTCCGAGACGCCCAAGAAGAACCCCAGGAGCCTTCACAACAGGTCCTCGAGAGGCCAAACTCGTTGATGTCCCATAGGTGTTTCAATGATGTTAGGGGTCCGCGCGTTTCCAGCTCCCGACACTCCAAGACGGCCCAAGAGGCCCCAGGACCGCTCCGACACTGCCCCAGAGGCCCCCATGATGACCCAGCACAGCCCAAGAGAGCTCCAACACGGCCCCGGAGGCGCCCAAGACGGCCCCAGAGGGCCCAACTGACAGCCACAAGAAAGGGCAGAGACGGTGAACACGAACGGGCAATTCGAGCCTTCCGCCCCAAGAGGCACCCAGGAGGCCCCAAGGAAGCCCCAAGAGGCCCCCAAGAGGCTCCCAAAAAGCCCCGAAGAGACCTCCAAGAGGACCCGAAGACGCCACAAGGGGCCCCCAACTGGTCATCCCCACAGAGGCCCCCGAGTGGCCGCCCGCGACATCCCAACGAACACCCGAGAGGCACATGACCCACAACCCAGGCACGGTGGCCTGAAGGGTCGAAGGCCATGCGATTAACATGCCGACCACCCAGAACACCTCGTCTCAAACCATCCCCACACTGTGACCGCGAACGGGCCCGTGATATACCCCCTGGCGGCGCCCCGCTGAATGATAAACGCCATGCCTGCTACGCCGCGGTGGCTAGAAAACTCCGAAGAAAGACGTGGTGACAGCCGCGAACGGATGTGTCGCTCGAGAGATCCCCAGTCTGGGCGCAAACGAGCAGTGATATGCCACCTGGCGGCTTCTCTCCTCGGGCGATCCAGGTCTCATGCCTCCCCTGGCGGCTCCCCCATTGGTGTGCCCGAGCGCTGTGCCTGCTACATCGCGGTGGCCACGTGGCTCTGAAAGGACACGCGTCCGCCGCCGCGAACAAGCGTTTCGCTCGAAACACCCACCCCTTGGCGTCTCCCCCTTGGGACGCTTAGATGACAGGCCTGTTGCACGGCGGTGATCATGGGCGAGCGAGAATTGTGACCTTGGGAGGCGTGCGTCGCGAATGCACTGATCATGGGTGATCAGTGCATTCGCGACGCACGCCTCCAGTGCGCGGCGCAATTCCAAAGGTAAGTATCGATTTGACGTCGTGGTCCAAGTGGATCTGTGATTACGAGAAACATGTTCTCCTAGAACGTCACCTTTGCCTCCATGTTGCTCCAATAATCGTTCATTGAAGTCGCCAAGTATAAATGTCGGCACATGGGGCCAACACCAACATGCAAATGCAGCCGAAGTTGTATAGTAGTCGCTACGTACATCGCACAGCTTGCGCGCCTAGCCCAAGTTGACGCCCTCGACATTCCACGGGGCAATCCTGCTGCAAGATACGGGCCAACATGGATAATTTACCCATTTGCCCAGTCGAGCTGCGATGGTAGTGCCAGTGCGACGTGCGAGTCCCTACTCAGGCTGACCTCCCTTTTTGCCCTTCCCATTCCCCTTGGCAGCACGGTTCAAAGCATCATTAGCTCGACTGGTGGGGCGCTGCATTTCCCGACTGCTGGCTGGCTCCTCCCAATTTGCTCAAGGCCCTTTCCAAGACATCGGGATAGCATTGTTCACGGTCTTGACTGTCACCACCGGGTCCTTCGCTGTCGTGAGCTTGCACTCCGTCGCGCCCGCGCGTACTTCTCCTTTCGAATACCCCCATTCCAAGAAGTGTTTGCGCAAGCCGAACAAGAAGCTCTCGGGCGCACGCTTGTCGATGGGCTGGTCGGTTTGCGCCCATGCAATATCGCCGTCACGATTGCTCTGCGACCTGCCAAAAGTATTCACGAACTTGCCCGGGCATCCACGGCGCCGAACTTGGCGAAGAGAATCGCGCTGAACCCACCTTTCGCGAAATAATCGGCGGGCTCCAGGAATGTGCAATGATTCACTTGTTGTTTGATGAATTGCACCGCCGCGTCCAAATCCCCGAAGTCACCCAAACCACCAACCACCGCATTGCATTCCCGAGCGTTCCCCATCATGCTCACGAGCATTGTTTCTCCAGCTCCAGGATCTTGCGCTCGATCGACCGCAGCTGAGCGACCAGGACCTTCCGCGGGGCCCCCTGCGGGGCCACGAAACGTGCAAGGGGCGCGCCGAGACAGAGACGCGCGGAGAGCAGAGGCACGGAATGGCGATGGGCACAGGCTTGAACGCAGCTGCGCATGCCGAGGGCCAGACCGCGACGCGCCCCTGCGTCGAGGCAAAAACGCCCTCAACTTATGAAGGGGCCCCCAAAGTTAGAAGTTGAACCAGACAGTGGACTGAGCGAGCCACGGGGCCCCTTTGACGCGCCCCCACCGGATCGCTTCGTCTCGGCCCCTCGCAAGTCGCTCTCGCTGCTGCTCGGCCAGGGGAGAGGGGGGGGCAGGGGGAGGGGGCGGCGGCAAGGAGACACGGGACAATGAAGACTCGAGGCCTACAACGGCAGCGAAGGCGCCGTCTTGAGCGAGGCCCCCCGAGGGGCCAGGGGGTCGGACA